CGACTTCCGTGCGGCAATTCTTAGCAAAATGCCCTTCCTTGTGGCATCTGAAACAAACAAGCGTACCTCTGTTACCTTGTCTGTTCACGTCCTTTAGTTTTGGACAATTTGGTCTTACGTGACCTTCCTGGTTGCAATTGTAGCACACCATTTTTCTAGCTTGTGGCGTTTCTCGGTTCCAACTGTTCTGACGGCTTGAGCCTGCTGTCTTCTTTTTATTCATAATTCCGCGGCATTCGCGACTGTGTGGCTTCAGAAAATTTTCGATCGATTCTTCCCTCTCAGCTATTTCTAATGCTTCGTCCAAGGTTGCTGGATTTCCTGAGAGGACACGTTGTTTAATCGGCATCAACAATCCTAGAGTAAATTGTGTAGCAATGTCCCCAAGCAATTTCTCTTCCAACAATTTATCTGTTGCTGGATTTCCGGTGAATGTAGCGGTCCGGTGCCCCAATACCTTTAATCTAGTAAGGTACTGTCTACAAGCTTCACCTGTTCGTTGCTTGCATTCAATAACATGTTTCATAGCGGTTCCCTTCACATAATGCCTGCCAAATTGAGTTTTTAAACTGTCCTTGAGTAGAGCCCAGCTTGTTGTGGTCTTCAGGGTTGGTTCTGACTCTATGTACTGCTTGGCTCGATATCTCAGTTTCAATCGAGCTACTGAAATTTTCTGTGTGTCTGTCCAGTCAGCTAAAATACTGGTTTCTTCTAGGACATTTAAAAATTCTTCAGCACTAGTAGTTCCATCATAGGTAGGTATGGAATCTAATCCTATAAAAAGGTTAGGCATGGTGGTGTTGAATTGTGGTACGGGGCTAGGAGGGTTGGACATTTTTGACGTCGCTTGATTAATCTCAACTCAAATTTAACTAACAAAATTACAGTTTCTCTCAATTCAAAAATTATTTTTAGCCCTACCGATGCTTTCACAATACAATTAAAATAACCACTTAGTTGCTCTCAATGTACAAATAATAGACAACCCCACACCTGACACCAATGTAGCAAATCGCCCCAAGTACTCTATGTAAATTAGTTAGATGGTAAATGGCGAGCGGTATATTGATGGTGTTTATATACTTGGAGCTTGCTATCTAAAATCTGTGGAAGAGGGTCTATTTGCAAGAGAGAGAAACAAACTAAGGAGGTGTACTAAATTATATTTTATTTCACATAAAACTCAAAATCAATTAGCCAAATATCTTCCAATACTTTACATCCTTCTTTAAGTCTGTAAAATTAATACTTCACAACCGTTCTATATTGTTATTATACGGACCACTGAAATATGCCTACTTAATACGAAACGCCCTATTCATACTATTTCTCAAAATAATATTTCTATTTATTTTACTACATCGAAATCATTCCTAATAACTACCCTTTACCTAGTCAAATAATTCCTTAAAATCTCTAAGTCCATTACTTATAAAAACCCAAAATAATTACCTATTTGTTTAACAACTAATTTATTCTCATAAGGTCTTACAATAACCCCTACTTGTAAAATAAACTCCCTAATTCAAAATTCATTCCATGGACAATAAATTCTTTTAACGGCTTTCCCATATTCTAAGACAATTCTATTTCATGAACAAATTCTAATATAAGTTTCCTTTTATCAAGTGTCCAATATTTTAAGAAAACATTTCTAATTTATGTCATCAAATTTTCTTTTCAAAATTTCCTATTGCAGTTAATAGTTTATCAGAACAAATTCTATTTTCGGATTCCTATGCCTAGCTAATAAATCCAACTGTTTAAGTCATAATTCCAACTCAAAATTGAATATTGTTAAATGCATTGTAAGTACTCTTCATATTTTTGTTGCACATTTAAATGTCATTAAATCTGAAGTCTGAGGGTAATTGAGTTATGCAATAATGTTCCATTTATAAAACACTCAAGCTACTAATTTCGTTGTAATAAAGTTCCACCGTTAAATTAAAAGTCAAAAGTTTTTCTAGTAGTGCAATCCTCAAGTTTATAAATTCAAAAGTACTTCTAGTAAAAAATCACTCAGTTTGTTTTATGCAAAGAAAGTCAGAGTTTAATCACTCAAAGTCATGTTCATCAAAATAAATCTTGTCACTATAAAGTACTTACATTTTGTCCATAAAACACACGTAAAATTATTTAATTAACTACTCAAAATATTTAGCTTCACGCACATAATTATTGAACGAATCTCAAATGTTATTACTTTCACGATTTTCCGTAAATTTTCTAAGTTAATTTATACCCGAGGCCATAAGCCATAAAAGAAACTTTTCGCGAACCTGGACAGACTTTAACTCAAATGGACGACTCAACTGTTTTCTGGCAACTGTTTACTGGGAACTATCTTCAGATCACCTGGGAACTCTCTTCTGCAAGTTTTTTATATCAATTCGCTCTCCCCGAAAAATTATTAGTAAATTTCCCCCAAATCGTCAATATAGGCGGTCGTTAACTTAGGACTTCGAATTTCATTGGACGCCCTCATTGTTATTAAAAGAATGATGCAATTTCCTTGAATATTTTATCATTTTTGTAGCCCAAAAATCGACTAATTATGTCGTAATATACTGATTTATTGAGGTCAAGACGTTTTGGGTTCAAGAATCCATAATTCATTCGACTCAATGTGTGTTAAACGGAAAGGCCTTGGCTAAATAAAGTTCATTGAATCGGATTTTAGGATGACACCACCACGGTTTTATCAGTTTTTAAGAATTTAATTTAGATGAACGACTTCCGGGTGTCGTAATACGATAGTTTAGTTGGTTTTATTTTTAATTTATCGATACAGATTTAAAAATACCGGAATTAAGTTTTTGATTATTTGATAAAAATTAAAATTTTTACAGTAAAGACTTTGTAATTATAGGGTCAAATTTCTGGATCATCACATCATGATCATTTATTTTGTTCCATATCCAGATCTAAATCCTGCCTGTTCTCGCGACTGATAGCCTTTTTGACAGAACTTTGGTGAATAATTTGTAGAAGTTTGATCTTCACCAGGAGATTTACCGTTTTTCATTTCTTGGAGTGCTTTTCTCACTTGATTCAATGCTATGTCTGGAATTTCTTCAGAGCCTTGGTTCGTCACTTGGGGCAGTGTGTGGTTTTCAGCACGCTGTCCCTGTTCTTCATACAGCTGACGGTAAAAATCTTCTATACGTTCGGAATGTCTTCCCTGGCGCAAATAATTCGCCCTTGACTGTTTTTTAACTTATGAATGGTTTTTCTTCCAGAGGACATATTTTGTCCAAGAACTTTTAGGGTTTTGGGTTTTGTTTTCTTCAATTGTCCTTGCTATCTCTTTAGTGTTGTGCTGTCTAATGTCTTTCCGAATTTTCTTCTGTATTTCCTTATTTAGGTGCTTCAATAAGTCAAAGTTTTTACCGTATTTTTGCTTCAGTTTTCTTCTTTTATCCAAAAGGTTCTTGGTATTTTGACTTAATTTGTTGTTTCTGTTTTTAACTACGGTACAACATTATTTTTCGGCTTCTTTTATAGCATTTACTATATTTTTGTTCATTTCTTCCATGTCTGTTTCTTCCAAGTAATCTTGTGATGCCAAATTTCGGGTCACGACTTGTTGATATTGCGCAATGCTCTCTGGAGACTTCCACTTTTTATTCTTATCTTTAAGAATCATTCTTGTTCTCTCCTTCTTAACATTGATGCATGCCTTTGCTCGGATCATTCTGTGGTCGCTTCCGACCGAAATTTCATTCAGGACCGTTATATCGTGAATGAGATCCCTTCTGTTTGTGATTATGAAGTCAATTTCGTTTTTAATTCTTCTGTTTGGGCTTATCCATGTCCATTTGCGTTGGGGCTTCTTTTTGAAAAAGGAGTTCATTGCAAAAAGGTTCTCCTGATGCAAAAAGTCCAAAAGTTTTTCTCCCCTTTAGTTTCTTTCGCCATAGCCAAAGTTTCCTGAAGCTGTTTCTGCGTTATCTTGCTTGAAACCCAGCTTAGCATTGAAATCTGCAATTATCATTATGTAGTGTGTTTGTGTCGTCTGAAAGGCTATTCTGACCGACTCATAAAAATCTTCGTATTCTTCGTCTGAATAACTCGTTGTTGGTGCATATACTTGTATAATTTTGAGGCTGTATCTTGGACTTAATCTGAGAACTAAATAAATAACTCTGGGCGATAAACTTTCAATCTTCTCTAGGTTGGGTATATGTTTTTTTATGAACGAAGAAGCCGACGCCGCCATATGATGGGTCTTCCTCTCCTATGCTTCACCTCGCTAATACCGACGATATCCCATATTCTTTTTCCATTTCTAATAGTTTTGCTTCTGATGAGAGAGTTTGGACATTATATGAGGCTATATGCATAAGTTGTTTTCCTTGGTGACTTGATTTCTTCCGGGGATTCTTAGCACCTTCTGCTCCAACTCTGTTCTGACCGTCACCTTGGTCAGGGATATTGGAGCCGCCGGGGACTGAGGGCCGTGTGTAGGATGTATCTTCCATGAATGAGGGGAAATCTGGCCTTTTCGCTACCTCGCTGGCCAGTGCGGGTTGGTAGCAGGTCTCTTGAGAACAACATTTCCTTTGTTTCTCGGTGGAATGGTTATACCGCCATGGTTCGGTCGACAGCGCCTCTTTGGTTTTCTAGCAGGGTGCACCGGATGACCGAAGTCGAGCAGGCGAGGTTGTCATTTGGGTTGGCTTATTGGACCAGTATCTAGCCATCACCCCTTACACCCCAGATTATTACAAAAAGAATAAATAACAGAAATAAAACACGATAACAAAGATGTCCAGAAAGAATTTGAAAATTACATCAGTAAGCCACTATAAATTTCATTTTCAATTGAACAATAATATGCATGAGGTTTTGCAAAATACTGAGTTAGGTTGTGGCATTACTTCAACTAGTCCTATAAAATTGTTGTCGAAATTGTTTATTATTCCTCTCTACTAAAATACGATTAATAATTGAATCCTGGTTTAGATATTTAATTTTTTGTATTATTCTGCTTCTAGACAATGAACAATCCACTATGGCACTATATAGGATGCTGGATTTTGCTGATTTTGGTACCAGTAACCACAGGAACGTACCAAGTTGGAGTTGGTAGAGCCGATATGACTGGACCATCGGCAGAAATTACTTTGGTAAATTTGAATTCGAAAATTTCTGACAAGTAGTAATTTTTTAATTTTTCAGATGGGCTATGCTAAATTGAATCAAAAAGGTTGCGGTATACATTTAAGACAATTTGCACGTGCTTTTATTTTCGATGATGGTAATACAAGGGTGCTGTTTGTTTCGCTCGATGCTTGTATGGTTTCTCATGGACTTAGACACGCTGTAAGTAAAGTGAAAAATATATTTTCAATTGGAATTATTCCGTTGTTGTTACTTTATTTTCCTACATTCAATCATCCCTGTCCTTGTTTATTTGGCTTTCTACAAAGAAAACTTATTCATACTGTTTTTCCTTTTAATTAAGTTCAGGCCTCTACGTTGAATGAAAATGTTTTCTGCCCTCTAGTAGGTATCTCTGAAAGCTTAAGTTTTCTCATACATTATTATACGAAAACTTTGGAAAATGTTAAACACAAGCAAATGAATGTTTGAAGTTGTATGAAAATAAAACCATCATTCGAAGTTATAATGCTTATTTGTAACAAGCCAAAAAACAAACATAATTAATTACTGAAGCAAAAAGTTCAAATAAGAAATAAAACAAAAAACATAAAATTCATTAATTAGTTCAGTTTTCTGGTTTTGGATTTCTGTTTAAAGTCGCTCAGAAATTGTTTATATTCGTTACGAGAAATTTCTCAAAAGACGTAATTTCGTCTTCAACCAAACAAGCCAATTAACCACCGTATTGAATCGGCCATTAGACGTTATTATAATTTGCTTGCATTGATAATATCGAGTGGCAATAAGTACAGTTTTTTTCGTTTATATTATGTATTATTAATTGGATTTTTCTGAAATAATAATATTTTGGCAAAAATATATTAAAATTTAAGTCTATTGGTGGTAGACTGATAAACTCTTTTTGTGATAAAATATACATAAAATGGCCGAATAAAGACAGCTTCAAAAACAAATAACCGACCTTCCTGTTTACTTAAACACAATTTTACGTAACATTCAATCCATTTAAAAAATTTGAATACAAAATACAAAATACTTCATTCAAATTTTTGTCGGTTAGGTAGGTACTATACCATTGCAAGCTCAATTTGAAGATGCGCTAGTTTGTTTTGAATAACATTTTATAGGAAAAACTAGGTCGTTGATCGATAAATGGGAAAATTTAACTTTGGGTGCAGCCCGAGCTCATAAACATATATTAGGGAGAAAATAGGTACAGAATTTCAAATAAGGTTGCTATATATAAAATGTCTCAAAACGTAGGAAATATAACATGTCTATTATTCTATCGACATTGGCTCAAATAAATTTTTCGAGAAGTCTTTATTTGAAAGTAAAGTTGACAGGAAATATTGATGCAAGACATCTTGTATGCATCCCTATGAACAACTAGGTGCACGATTTCCAATGAACAAAATGGGCAAAATAGAGATAATTCTCAGCAATTGTTAATATTATTTCACATTTGCATGACTTGAAGATATCAGACATATTTGTCTAATTCTAAAACTCTCATTCTTTCTAGGTAGTGGAAAGACTTCAGAAAATTTACAACACCACCTACAACTATGAGAACTTTGTTCTGAGTGGAACCCATACTCATGGAACCCCTGGTGGATTTTTGATGGACGTTCTGTATGATATCACGCAATTAGGATTTTGTAAAGAAACTTTGGATGCTTATTCCAAGGGTATAGTGAGGGTAAGTAATGGGTATATATTGCTGAAACAATGCTGTTTGTTGAAATTTTTAATCAAAAAGCCGTCAAGCCGCAACACAAAAAGCACACAATCCGTACACTCGTATTTGATCTTTTTTCATGCGAATAAAACAAATCAAAATTTCAAAGAATAGTGGATGTCATTGATAGATTTTTTTTCCAGCTATCATGAATTTCAAACAAAACCATTGAGTACATTCATATTACATATTTCATAACATAATTTATAAGGATAATAAAATGATAACTGTAGCAAATACTTAATTATTTATGATATACCTATTTATCATACGGTATTTTTTCTACCAACGCACTAAAAGTGATTACTTTTAGCACTCAGTACTAAAAGTATATAATCAGTTTTAACACCAGTGTCATTTTGAGGCGAATTCGTTTTCGTTCCTTCGCCCGTCCCTGAAATCAGCTGACTCTAACGCGGGCTAGCACCAACCTTAGGGTACTCACACAAAGAAAGCGGTTGCCTGCTTGCTGGTAACAAGCGCTTATAAGCACCAATAATTGAAACCGCACATAGACAAAGCAGATCGGTGCTTGTTGTTAGTGCAGATCGGCGCTGACTTTTTAACGGAATGAATTTGTAGGGGTACGCACACAAAGAAAGCAGGTTAATCAGCGCCTAAAAGTCATCTCACTAATACACAATGAATGCCGGTTTTCGGCCAGTTTAGACGCAAATTCCATACTACAAAGATGTCTAGTTCATCTTCAGATGACGACTTTTTATTGAAGGAAAATACATTCCTGATGATGATGCAAAGCATGAAGCAAGATATACATCCAGTAAATCGTGAACGAAAACTTTATGGTGAATATCACCATTTATTCCTTCTGCTACTATATTCCTGTTGCTGTGGGACTTAAGTCATTTGTCCCACAATGCATTTCTTTGAAAAATCGCAGAAATCAGTAATTGGTTTTTGTCTTGATTTGCGAAAAGAAAGTCGTCCAGATAAATCACTACTCGCATACCCAACGACCGAAGAAAGCTGACTACCCAGTTTGACTGGCTGGCAAACACTTGGGGGGATGTTGCCAGGTCATGCACAAGACCTCGTCTTTGTAAATCAGTGCCAAAAATCTTTGATGGGGTTCCTTTATCGGAAGGTGGAAATAGGCTTGTGAAAGATCTATCTTTATCAGAAAGTCGCCTTTCTGAAGGAAACTCTGTACCTTGTAATGACTGATCAACGTGAACTTTTTCGGGTCTAGAAATTCGTTGAGTTTTTTCAAGTTTACCACTGGCCTGTAGCCGCCGCCGGATTTTAATACCAGAAACATAGTCGAGAGAAATCCTGAGCGCTGATTGGTTGTTTTCAGAACTTTCGACTCATTCGTTTTATTTCCAAATCCATCTGATGACCCTCCTTCATGGAAAATTGACGTATCTCACGAAATCAGGAGCGGCGGTTTTGAAAAAGAAATTGAATAGCCTTTGATGATATTTATTTAACTTTGTGGGGCCCCTAGAACTTCCCACTGTTTTGTGTAAAAGTGCAGTAGTTGGCCCGTTGACCCCCTTGAAAAACTCAATTGCTTGGGGGACATAGTATCTCAGGGGCGACGAAACCTGGTGCCAGATTACTTTTTGTTGTCGGAATCTCGTTAACGGTCAATTTAATGGCTAGTGTTGAATTCGGGCCTTTTTTTTGATCATTGATTTCTCAGACCTAGCTTTTGAGGACATCTTGTTGGGTTATTTACGAGTTCTTCCTATCTTTTTATCCAGATGCTTGCATGAGAACGAATTTCTTTAACTGCAGGATGAAAAAGTTGATTTCGGTGGGTTTGATAACAGAGTCTCTAATTTCTGTTCATCATAGAGATGGGTCTCTGAGAGGGTATCTCTCTTATCAACTGAGCAGTAATGCTGTTATTTGGCTCGTATAACTTGCGCCTAGCCCCTATGATCTCTGCTCTTTTACCACAAACATATTGAAGCAGATTGTCTGAGATGCTTCGAAAGTTTGCGTCAGGCAATGAAAAAGTTTCTTTCAAATTATTCGTAACCTCTGGGTGTTTCCTAATCATTTCCTGGTGCATTTCTTCCACTAACGTTTTTCGCTTAAGTAGTAATCCATAACACAGGATACCCATCGAATTATCTGTTTTGGCCAGTAACTCTACATATTGACCAGAGGTCCGAGAGTTAGGTTGTAGATTAATGTTAAGTTGAGAGGAGACACCACTTGCTTGTAATCTCTTTTGAGCCTCCACATAACGAGTTTTATCACTAACAGAAGTCTTGAGGCATTGACAATTAATGGCATTTGTCTTCAAGACTTCATCCACTTCAAGTATCATCGGATCTAGCTGTTTTGTAGCTGGTTTGAACTCAAAAGTGATATCTTCGTTCTCCATTATTAAAGGAGGTTCTTGCCACACCTGTTTCGTGGAAGTAGCAGTGCCTGACTCTATATCCGATTCGCTATTGGCTATCGTTTCTCTTTCCTTACCCTGGTTTTGTTCATCATCTGAAGGGTTTTCTCCAACGCGCCTTTGATCGATAAGTTCATGCAGCAGATATTCAATTCTTTCTTGGCGCTCTTCCAACCTGATCTCCAGTTCCTTTTTCCTGAGATGGCTTCCTCTTCCTCATCAGAAAATGGCCTACTCAATTGAACTGACGCCTCCACTCTTGACAGGAATAGATACTTTAAGGGTGCTGTAGCTTGGACAACCAGTTCATGTTGTGAGACTGACGCTCTGATTTTAATGGATAAATCTTGAGGGCTAATTATCAGACCATGATAAAAAGGTTAATTAGGCATTCGAATCTTCATATCCCGATAGCGTATTACCATTGTTTACTATTATACAGAGCAACTGTGCTCCGAGGCGCAGTGGAAAATGGATTAGCAAATACGCGTAATTTGGATTGCCAATGCTTACTGCAATTCAGCACATCGTCCAAACTATAATGTTCTGAATCGCAGTGAATGTTGGCAATAGTAAATCTGCTTCTGCAGAAATCACAAGCCAGTCAGAGCGAATTTCATTGGTTGAAAACAGTCAGAAAACTAGTTTCAACCAATGAAATTAACTCTGACTGGTTTGTAATTTCTGCAGAAACAGACCTAATATAAGCGCGTGTTGCTATTGGCGATTGCTCACTGCATTACAGCGCATACCACGCAAACTGAATCAAATTATTCCCTAGCATTTAGAATCTCTTCCAGAAGACTGCTTTGGTAATGCTCCTCATCCACAGGTATTCATTACAGATGATAGTGCAGCTAAGAGAAATGCATTATTATCTGTATTTGGCAATTAGTAAAAAGCGCAAACGAAATCTGGGAAACAGCATTGCAGAAAATATGCCAAATGCCAAATCACACAGTAGAAATTATTATGATTTTTAAGTTTTACAAGATAATACCTAAAATAAATATAAATTTGTACTTTTGCATGCTGTTTGTTTGGATCTCACCTTTTTCGTTTAAGGATAGTTGCAATTTATTTTATTTTCTTCGAAACAATATTCTGACATAAAATTTTATTAAGTAGCTTAATGCAGTAAGAAATGGCCAATAGCCACACGCGTGGATATTATTGCCAACATTTACTGCGATTCAAAACATTATAGTTTGGGCGATGTACTGAATCGCAGTAAACATTGGAAATCTAAAATCCGCGTATTTGCTAATCCATTCCCCACTGCGCTTAGAGGCACAGCTGCTCTGTATAATAGTAAACAATGGTAATACACATACTGATGCAATCTTTTCATCAAGCACGTTGCGTTATGGTTGAAACACTTTGCAGTCCCTACCGTAGGCAGAGCAATCGAAATTTGTTAAGAGTCTGCTGGCCTACCAAAAAATTTTCTTTTTCCTCATCATCAATGACTTGCCATTCAGTCCATCCATTTGGCAAATATTCCTTGGCTAACTTCTTGACCCTCTCGAGTAGTTCTCCCAATTTAGCATGCAATACTCGATCAGGAAAAGACATCTGTAACAAACAGGAGAGTCAGATTGACCGAAAAGTTAGGCTAAATAGCTTTTTGTAAGTTCAGCTCAATCGCTATTAATATTTCTCAAAGGTTGAACATGATTTGCATAGTTCAACAGTGGGAGTCAGAAGAGCTTGAAACTTCTTGCAGCTCCAAAAGTGACCCTTAGCAGGTACGACTAGATAGGCCTTACGGCCCAAAAGTGGGCATCTATGGCTCGAAAGTAGTCCTCTACGGCCCGAAAGTAGGCCTCTACGGCTCGAAAGTTGGCCTCTACGGCTCAAAAGTGGTCTCTACGACCCAAAAGTGAGCATTTACTGCCTATAGATGAGCCTTTCGGCTCAAAAGTGAGCCTCTACCGCCCATAAATGAGCCGTTCCGGCCCAGAAAAGAAAAATTCTCGGCTCGAAAAATAGGCCTTTACGGCTCGTCAAGTGAGCCGTCGCGACCATACCAGCTCACGGCTCTCAAAGTAACTAAAGTGAGCCTTCACGGCACAAAATCCTTCAAAAATAATTATCATGGGCACAAAAAACTACAGATTTAACCTGAAATGACTAGTCTACTAGATGATTTCCCAATAATTTAATGCTTTTGCTAATATCAATTTCAAAATTTGCTTAATTTTAATGCAATTATCCAGTATTTCAAAAATACTATTACTGCCTAGCACAATAAGAATAAACAGAACAGTACACACTGTTAACATGGAACACGTGGGCTGTCAGAGTCAGCTGATTTCAGAGACGGGCGAAGGAACCAGAACGAATTCGCCTCTAGTAGCAGCGCATGGAAATCGAATGAAAGGTAGAAAAGTAATCTTATATGGGTCAAGCGAAAGCACAGACCCGAAATAAACATATAAAAATATCCTCAGGTTTCACCTTTTCAAGTTTTTCCTTTATCCGCACTCGTAGAGAGGCTTTGAAACAAAAATCTGATGTAATGGTAATAAATACAAAGATCCTTTAATGATATTGGGTTTACCTACTCGCCTTCGTTAGATTTTGTAGGTTTTTTTTTCCCAGAGTTCCCCAATTTATATTCAAAATTGGTAATTTAGATAATAGTTATTTATTATACAACGGAAAAAAGTACTAGATTTTAGCGCGAGGTGTGGTTTGTCTGGGGGAGACAACACAGCAAGCAATCTTACTTTTTTCCCGTGTATAATACATTATTTTTTTCTGTGACGGGAAAATCTCACCATTTTTCATCTATAAATTTTTTTTCTCTGTGACCGTACTTATACTTTTTTCCCTTTGAGAAAAAAATTTGACTGGTACCTGTTACTTTTTTCCCGTCACAGAAAAAATACTATTTTTTTGTACGCACAATATAATTTCTATTTTTATTATAACACCACAAAATAAATTGTTTTTATACCAGCAGTAATCTTTATCGTAGCAATAACCTAAAAAGGTAAAGAGTAAAACTGCGGAAAATGATGAAATTCCAAACATTCATGGCCTATTATTTTTTACCATTAACTCCGTGAAGCTATGGAGGAGTTTTTATGTTTTATACCTATAATTCTAATTTTCTAACATTTTCGATAAAAATCATGAATGATCAAAGTTTTTGAAAGGACGGATACCTACAATAGAATATTGTTTCTTGGCTTTGAACAAAGCACCAGACTTTAGCAAAAAATAAACAAAAAAGAATGTTCCAGTGAATTCCTTTTAAAATAAATTTTAAAAGACTTTTGAAAAACTGCTTGTGACGATGGATCTTTCGATAATAAATACTAATTTGTTTCTTTTAGGCAATTAAACGAGCTCACGATAATATGGTAGAAGCCCGAGTATTTATGAGTACAGGTGAAGTGGATGCAAACATAAACCGTAGCCCGGCATCTTATGACTGTAATCCAGAAGAGGAAAAGAAAAAGTAAGCATTAATATTTTTAAGTGAGAAAACTTTTCTTATTGTGAAAATAGTAATTTTCATCATGCATATTTGATTGAGTTTTCACAATTATTACTTTCCAGAATCGGATCCGAAATACCTATAGGAATTTTCTTAACAATTTTGAAGTTTCATATAATAAGTATCCATAAAGTGTCTAGCAAATAGGTAATAGAAATATAGATTATCATTAAGGTTGATAACTTGATGAGTGCTCGCATGCAATTCAAACCTCTTGATAAAAAATGGTTTCTAAATAGCATTATTAATATATTCAAGTACATGAAATCGTAATCTCTGCCAACAATTTCTTGGTACTTGAATAGTATATATTATTTTGCCAACTATTGAAACTATTATATCAGGTATCTTAAAGCCCATTAAAATTTTACATTTTCCTTCAACAAGAATGCAAAGTCTGCATATTCCTGACAAATTTGATAGTAATTAGCTTCAAAGAAAGTTCCTGGGTATCAAAGTTGCTCAACTTCAAAATTTTTTTTTGTAGATACTAGAAGGAAACAGCTTGTATACTCAAGATATTTTTCCAATAGATTTTAATACACAATTTATTTTTTAGGTAAAAATCCATACACAAATTTTGCCCACCCTTTTATTAAAAACTTAGCAGGTGATAAAATACACTCTATGCGTCCCAACCTTTTTTTTTCTGTTTCATATAACCAATATATAGGGAACATTTCATAAATCGTTCTTTCTTTCTTAACTCACATTCTGTTAACTTATCTACCTACATATTTTGTATAATATTGAAATTTAATATTTTTCAACAAAAAAATCTGTTGTTAGCTTTGTAGCTATAGTGAGGAAAAAAAAATGTATTTGATTTATTGAGAAAAGTTCTCGACTTATAGCTCTTGGGAAATCTTGAAGTAAATCAATTTTGATATGAATTTTAATTTTATAATAAAATATTTTGTAAATAAGTTTCTGCTTCAAATAACAATATATTCTTGTCGTAATTTCAAATTTTTCCATAATAAGATTTTGACTTGAAATAATCATTCGTGACCTCTCAAATGCAAGATTTGAAGTAATATTTGAAAATAGCTCAGTGATGATAATAACATTTCCACTTCTCCTAGTCCAAAAATTGCAACATTCCCATTGCGCTTTCAATAAAATTTGAAACAGAATGTCTCAAAAATACCTAAAGAAATAAAAGAAATATCTGACAAAAATATCCTCCTTGTTTTAAACGCTCCATCGGAAATAAAATGTTCAGCAACTCTCCATGAATATTGAAAAATACCGATTTAAAATGAAAAATAGCAATAGTGTATGGCCGAAAGGACATTCAGAAAAATGAGGATTCCAAATTTAAATTCCACTTCTTGGGTTCACATTTATAATCTCACTAATCTTAAATTTGTTCCAGATATGCCACAAATACTGACAAAATCTTAACACAACTGAAAATTACCAGAGCTTCGGATGATCAAATAATAGGGGCGATTAATTGGTATGCCGTACACGGCACGTCAATGAACAATTCGAATTGTTTGGTGACTTCTGATAATGTAGGCTACGCTTCTCTTCTCTTGGAGTCTGAGTTCAATATCGATAGCATGCCTGGACAAGTAAGTAATTAAATTTCGTGTTTGGTGCTGTAGATGACAGGAGAAAATTGGAAAAAAAATATTTGCCTTAAATATAAAATATATTTACAATCATTTGATGGAAATTTAACTTTTGCTGCAATTGAAACTAAATGCATTTTAGTTTAAAAAAAATAAACTCGTGTCCTTTATCGCTGTGTTAATAATAACTTTGTTGTACTGAAAAGTGATAAAACGTCTCTAGTTACTCCTGTTTGAATAAAAGATTTCGAAGTTCCAGAATATCTATCCATCTATTAGAACGATACCTTGCGATACGAGTGTGAAATTTTCACTTGAATTATTATTCTGTTACAAAAAAAAAAAAAGTATAGAGCACAGAAAAATGCTTTCAAGCTTAGTTTTTCGTTAGAGAAGAAATTGATCTTTTCATGCCTTTCAATGAGATATCAATAAAGCTTTGTACAAATACTTTTACCCCTTTAATTCCTTATAGCTTATCCTTTATATGTACCCATTTTTTTCTCCGGTAACAAAGTTAAATTAAAAAACTTTTTCAGACCAATAATATAATTTAGTTGCAAAAAGGATAAATAAACTTTGTTGCTTAATTATATTTCAGGGCAGTTTCGTGGGTGCTTTCGCCTCGACAAACCTCGGTGACGTGTCGCCAAACACAAAAGGTCCAAAATGTATCAACACTGGGGAAGATTGCGACTATCAGACAAGTACATGTGATGGGGAAAACAAGTACTGTATTGCTAGCGGCCCTGGGAAAGACATGTACGAGAGTACTGAGATTATTGCTACAAGAATTGCTAGCAAATCAATAGTAAGTATTATTACGTAATAATTACGTTTTTTCCATTAAAATAATTATTAAGTTTTGCTCAGGTCAGACATGTTTAGTTTAAAGTAGAAGCGATAAGTGTTAGTTATATTGTCCAATTTCCTTACAAATAAATATGGTTGTTTACCTTTTTTTACTAGCTTTTAGCAGTACATTCAATTCCCACCGCTTTTTAGCATTCATTGTAAGTTGGTAAACAACATAGTTGCCTATTCAGCAATATAATTATATAGAAGAAATGGCAACCAAGCGGGAGCGTTCTATTATTTTCAGACATTGTCTGGGTAATTAATTCCATGTCACTTAACAATATTTTTCATTTCTTTTTATTTTTGAATAAATTGTTTTTAAAAAGTTAAGTTTCTGATTCGAAAATATAATTGGCGCAGTCGTGCGGATTTTTGGATTCTCAGAGTGCGATCAAACTGAGAAAAGCTAGACATTTAAACCGCCGCGAAAAGTTTCGAAAAACTGAAACCTGGTCGCGCGAAAGACTTTGGATTATCAGTGAAACTTTGGATTAAGTTAATGGTTCAGTTTGATGTCCACTTCTCATTCAATTGAGTTAACTGGGAATACAAAACATTGAAAGAATCAACGTGTGGAAGAAGGCTACAGTTATTGCATCACGCAGTGAGTAATCCCTTCATTTCTATATTTTGTGACTGGTGTTTCATATTTAGGGAATTTTGAGTTCTTTTGTATAATCATTGATTTACTGAAGAGGGCCAAAATAACTTTTTTGTTTTTGAATTTTATTTAAAAATTTAATAGTGCAATTATTAAAACCTTTCGATGGTGAAAGTCAGTATTTAGCATACTTTATAACAAACATAAATGAGTTTCATCGAACATATTATACTGGTGAAAATGCTCAAAAAGAGTATGTAATTACCGCAGTTAAATCAAAACTGATTAATGATGCGGGTAATTTTCTTATGTCTCGCCTTGATTTGAAATCTTGGAAAGATATAAGAGAAGCTTTAAGATTAAAACATGGTTGTCCATATTCAAGGCAAAACCTAGTACAAGAATTAATGTTCACTACTAAAGCTAAAAATGAATCAATTATGGATTATCTTGATAAACTTAAAAACTTAATGTCAAAAATCACAACAAAAATAATGTGTGATCAAAGTCTATTGCAAGTTGCAGATGTTTTAAAATCGCAAAATGAAATTATTGCTATACAGAATTTAGTAACAAATTCGCCTACTGAATTAAGAAGTATTTTAATGGTTCGCAATCCTTTAACATTGGATGAAGCTACAACGCTAGTATTAAACTAACAGCTTGCCGAGAATCACATGAAATTAAGTATCTAAAGGATTCTCTAACAACAATAACAATACACAAAACAATACAAACACGTACAAGAAATTTACTAATAACCAACAATCGACATTTACATAGCAAAAACCTAATTTTGCTCAACAAAAACAACAATTTCCCTCACAAACGACTAATATTCAATCGAAACCAATTATCAACACAAATTTCCAACTACTTCGGGAACATTTGGCAAAAATTATAAGAATTTTAAAGCCTTCTCAAAGAATACAAACCAACAATTTTAGAAACCTGTACCCATGTCTGGAGTTTCTGTACAACCTCGAAAACAAAATACTCATAATTATTTCAAACCAGATCCGAATGCTGATCCTCAAAGATATACTATAGAAGAAATTAAGAATATCCATGAACTTGAGTTACCAGACCCTGAAGAGATTTTTGAAAATAGTTCAGAATCAAATGAAAATTTTGAATATTTTTCAGAAGAAAATATTCAACAAGAAAATGCCGATGATGAAAATTTTCAGCTAAAAGCCTCGGAAATCAATCAGCATTAAATTTAAACACTTATCAAATAAATCAACGTCCATTTATTGAAATTACAGACCCCCCTTGTAAACTGTTAATTGAAACAGGAAGTCACGCTGCTTTGATTAGAACTTCAATTGCAGAAGAGTATTTTTCAAACTATATAATTAATCTCAAAATAAGTTGACAACCTGTATGGAAACTAGAAAAACTCAAGGTAAAGTAAAAGTGCCCATATTACATGAATTTAATATTGGAAATAACATTGAATTAATAATGTATAATTTTCACGATTATATTGATGGAATATTAGGACTTAGAGCCCTTCAAGATAATAATTTAAATATAATTTTTCCTAATATGTGCCTTGCAAATGATGAAATAAGCATTCCTTTTCAATATAGGACAGATTTTAATAATCAGACCTTAGAAGAATCATCTAACTCGATACAGTTATGCTATTTCAACACAAATTTACCCGATGGTGTAGATATCTGGACACCATTAGTAAACAATGACGCTTATGTTATTCCAGCAACATTAGCCAAGGTTGAGAAAGGTTTAGAAATTCATAGTTTAACTGATACGTCTATTCATCTCACTTATCATATAGATGAACTTGAAGAAATAAGCACAGTTAACGACGACAATAATTTTACAAGTAACTTTATCGCCAGATTTTAACTATGAAAATGACCCTGTAAAATATTTACGTACGGAACATTTGAATTCAGAAAAATTTAAAGCATTACAAGAATTAATACAAGCCTTTCCTCAAATATTTTACAAACCTAATGACAAATTAACATTTACCAATCAGGTAAAACATCAAATAAAAACCACTGATGAGATACCGATAAATACTAAAACATATCGATATCCATATGTTCATAAGACGGAAGTCAACAAGCAAATAAAAAAAATGTTAGAAGATAACATTATACAACCATCCTGCAGTCCTTTGTCATCACCTGGATTGTACCAAAGAAAAAAGACGCTTCTAATATTCGGAAATGGAGAATGATAGTGGATTACAGAAAAACTAATGAAAAAACAATCGATGAGAGGTATCCATTACCAAATATCACTGATATATTGGACAGATTAGGCCGCAGTAATTATTTTACAACATTAGATTTGGCATCTGGATTTCATCAGATAGAAAAGCATCCAGATTCAATTCCGAAAACAGCGTTTAACGTAGAGAATGGTCATTTCAAATTTACTCGAATGCCCTTTGGTCTAAAAAATGCCCCTGCCACCTTCCAGAGAGCTATGGATAATGTTCTAGCAGGATTGCAAAATAAAATATGTTAAGTATATATGGATGACATTATTATATTTTCTACATCGCTACAGGAACATGTTAAAGATTTGAAAAGAATTTTCAAAAGACTAGAAAAGTATAATTTAAAAATGCAACTTGATAAGTCAGAGTTCCTACATAAAACTGTCGAATTTTTAGGACATGTAATAACCCCTAATGGAATTAAACCTAACCCGAAAAAAGTAATGGCAATTAAGAATTTTTCAATTTCTAAAACTAATAAAGAAATAAAATCATTTCTTGGATTAGTCGGATATTACCGAAAGTTTATTAAAAACTTTGCCAAACTCACAAAACCATCAACATCTTGTTTAAAGAAAGACAAAAAGATAGAGCATAATTCAGAATTTATAAATAGTTTTGAGACTTGTAAGAATATTCTAATGAATGATCCTATCTTACAACATCCCGATTTTGGTAAACCTTTTTTGTTAACCACGGATGCTTCAAATTATGCAATAGGAGCAGTGCTATCACAAGGACCTATTGGTAGTGATCTTCCAATCGCCTATACAAGCAGAACGCTAAATCCAGCGGAATGTAACTACTCAACTATTGAAAAAGAGTTATTAGCGATAGTCTGGGCTACTAAATATTTTAGACCCTATCTTTTTGGAAGAAAATTTACCATCCTATCCGATCATACATTTTTACAACGTAAAAGAACCAGGCTCTAAATTAGTGCGTTGGAGACTAAAACTATCGGAATATGACTATGAAATAGAATATAAAAAAGGGACATTGAATATGAATGCAGGTGCATTATCATTAAACAATGATGAAATAATTTCATGGACACTGAGCTTTATAAGCCAAAAGTAGATCCTAATCAAGAAAAATTAACATTAAAACCTAAAGAAAATCGAAGATTAATATAATTTCGCAAATAATTATAACTTCAAAAGAAAAGAAAGAAATTTCTATAGAGGTAGGATAATCTTCAAAGAAAGAAATTTGTATAGAGGTAGGAGAATCTTCAAAGACCCAAAGAAATGAAAGAAAATCTTTATCTAAACCAATTTTAGGTGCACCCTATACAAAGAAACAACTAAATGTATTTAATAATCAAGTAATATTAGAAATTGTTAAACTATTTCCCAATAAAAAGAGAATAATATTCTTTTTACCGAATGAACCTTCTAATGAACAAATAATCAATTTGATTAAAGAATATATGCCACCTAATGAAACCTATTGTCTTCATTTCCTGAATAAGACGTTAGAACCTATAATTATACGAGTATTACAAACAGCGTTTAATTCTAACTCGTTTAAGTTGTACATTTCTAATTCCTTAGTGGAAGACGTTATAGAATTTGACGAACAACAAGAAAAAATTAAGTTTTTCCATGAGACCAAAACATCCCATAGAGGAATGACAGAAAATAATTCGGCATTAAAGAAATGATATTATTGGCCAAATATGGAAAAAGATGTCCAAAAATATGTCAAAGTATGTAAAATATGCAACAAGACTAAATACGAAAGGCAACCGTATAAGATAATATTCAAGCCAACGGCAATTGGAACAAAGCCCTTCAAGCATATAGATACTTATATCAATAATAACCAGAAATTTTTAACTATTATTGATAATTTTTCAGTCAAGCATATCCAATAACTACAAAAACAGCTGTAGAAATTACGACACAGCTATTAAAGTATTTCAGCAACCATGGAATTCCAAAGATCGGATAATGGAGCAGAATTTAAAAATGCTATCATTACAGATTTATGTACATTGTATAATATCGAATTTCACTATAAAACTCCGCGGAATCCTAGCTCAAATAGTCCTATAGAAAGACTCCACTCAACATTGCGAGAGAGTATA